ATAAGAGGAATTGAATAACTGTAGTAATTCAAGGTCAATCAAGGTCGCTAGTAAAGAAAAAGCAGGGTGAGTAAATACGATTAGAAGGGTGTAATTGCTTTTTCTTGGAATAGATCCATTGTAATATATGTAGTTATATACAGGGTGTATAGAAATGATGTGTAAAGATCACCACAGCGGAATTACTTTTTCCGTGTATTGTCGTGTTCACAGTTTTGTCACTTGCTTCAAGTGACACAGATGTTTGTTTCGTCGAGAGATCTTCTGCCACAATTTCATGTAACATGGATTACTCAACCACGTATCTCTCGCGATAATTGCATCAAACGAAAGAAACTTTGCCGGTGTTTTGCGCAACGATTTTATAACACGTTGGTGACACTGAAGTTTAAAGGGATTACAACAAAGGTACCTCGGCATTTTTATTAATTGGACAAAGCGTGTCTGCGTGAATCACGAATGGTACGAAAGTACTTGTGTAGTTACTCGGAAAGTTGATAGGTTTTTAAAGTCTGACGACATTCCCTTCCACCTTCGATTTCCGGATAAACAAAGAATGTATTTCTGTAAAAGTGACGTAATTGGTGATGGCGATGCGAATTTAACGTACTGCTGTGATCTTTGCTTGTTAAGCTTATTAATAATAAGAATTGCTTATTGATCTTTGCTCAATTGGAAATTTTGAAAAATTCAATTTTTCAATTATTGACATTTTCTTTAAGAATATCATCTCGAAAATATTTCCGGAAAGTTTCAAGTTGATTCGATTGAAATCTACGGGGGGCTATGCAAGTTCAAAAATTAACATTTTGTTGGCGTGTGTATATTCAATATGAAACCTTAAACGCGTTTTCCTCAGAACCACATTTTCTAAATTGGTGACCAAGATATTTCAAAAATCACTGTATCGATTTGCTTCAATTTTTGCAGGCTTATCGTAGGGATAGAAAACTAGTCCTTGACCGAAGGATTTTTTGTTTCGATGGCTAGTTTTCTTTTTAATTGACAAAAATCAAGTGTTTTTTATACTGAAAACTGATACCTTGACTTTGAACGTCTGCTATTTTGTTGCGAATCAATTTTTTCGAACGCGCTTCGTTCAAAGCCTAAATAATTTAATATAAAACCTAAATTTTTTCGAATTATGGATTTTAAATAATCCAGATACGAGCAGCAGTGGTTACTGCAAAACGCTTAAAAAAAAGGTCTTTTAGGAAAGTGGCCATATTTAGAGACCATATTTTTAACAATTATTAATATTTTTTAATGAAAAAATTATGATAGTTGCTTGAAAATATAGTCTGTCAGACAAGTAAAAAGTTTACAAGTTTCTTCAAAACAAATTCACAAAGATCACGTTTTTCCACTTCCTGACTGAGCATACCCCCTTAAGTCAAGTTTAATAAAGGATACATTTTATTGCCTTATGAGCGAATGTATACTGACGGTCATAACGGTGTTCCTAGTCCCTTCGTTGATTGCTATATCTAAAATAATTAAGTATCGGCATTTCTGGGCAACTTCTCAACTTCTCAGCGCATCGGGATGGCACGCGGATGTCTTTGAAGCTCCATCCTGACTGTAATTATGAAACGAGCAAAATGAAATTTAGTGTGCATTATCGAGGAACATTCAAGGAACAACATACATTTTTTTCAGATTTTTAAAAACATGACAAGTTGCTTGTTTTTTCAAAATAAAAAATTTTTTATAATTACCATATTAAAAAAAGGCGAGTACAACAAAATTAAAAATATAGTTAGACAGCAGTCTTTTGCGATGCGAATAAAACTAAAAATTTTCTCTATGTGCAATAGTTTACAAGGTAAAAATTCACTTTTTTCGCGATTTTCAACATATTATAATTTCTTAATAAATTTGAATCCAGCAAAATGATGACATAAACTCATCATTAATTCGCACAGACTACAATATATTACAGTTTTATCAAAATCAGAAGACATGCTGCCAGAAAGTAATCGACTTGGCGTGGAATGGCTCGTAGGTGATTGCTCGTAGCTAAAAATAAATATTTTTGTCTACACTCGGTTTATTCTATCCTTAAAAATCCACTGAAGAATAACAGCAGCTGGTCGTTTCGTTGAAATTTCTTGTTGCTATTAAGAAGCTTGTCGATGACATCGCGATTTTTCGACCTATTTCTTAACGGTGTATTCTGCAAAACAGGTACTTAAGCGCACACGATTTTAAAGAGCACACCGATGTTGATGTTTTCTCGATATTATCTATGCCTACAACGTTATCAAGGTTAGCATCATCCGTGTTTTCTTTCAAATCCCGAGGCGGCTGATTCACTTTTGCAAATCAAATTCTTCTACAAAATTGTTTTCTTAAGCTTTTGTAATAAAAATGAAATCAAATGAAATACATGTACGTGAAATACTCGTTTAATAGTAATTACCAGTTCATCGCATATGGAATTCATAATTATGTACGAGTATAGATATTTAATAATAAAGAAAAACATTTTGAAATCATTGTACGTGAACTCAATATTACATCTTTCTCTTGTGCAGCAAAGTGAAATCGGAGTAATTATATCTTTCACTAAACGAGTAGCCTTTTAAAGGCCTCAGTTATATCGACATTTAACTTGCCTGCAATTATTGCAATTTACTGGAAAGAGTAATTTCCTTTAAATTGAGATTTGAGGTTGCAACAGAATATAAACAAAAGGGTGAATTTTATTTGCACAAAGTTGAATTCGTAGTGGAAAACCTGTATTCCCGGCAGAATCATGTTGCAGTCATTTTGGCAACGAATCACGACACTGCTTATCTTATCACATTACGCGACACTTCGAAATGCTTTGCGGACTCTTTGTCTGCAGGCATAGTTGAGATCCTTCCTTCGGTGAGTTGAAATCTCGTTCCTTCCGATCAGGCAGTAGACTTACACTAGTATTTCTGATATTTACTGTTTTTTCATCATTTATTGGTTCGTTTATGAAAGAAATATACACCGAGGCTTTTACTATTTATTTAAGATATGAATGGATTGGCAATTGTCTATGGATATCTTTGTTGAAACTCGCTTCGCGTCTGCTCTATCGTACTGTTATGTCGTGCCAAAGAAGGGAGAAGGGTTGAACAACACGTTGTTCGTTCAAACGTCTTTTATTTCTCCAGGGGTAGCGTTCCAGAGGTGAACAGAGCGATACAATAATCGACGGACTGATGCGTCGTGTCAAAGAAGGGAGAAGGGTTGAACAACACGTTGTTCGTTCAAACGTCTTTATTTCTCCAGGGGTAGCGTTCCAGAGGTGAACAGAGCGATACAATAATCGACGGACTGATGGACTGATTGATTGTCTGACTGCGAGTGATCGCAGGCGACCGGACATTGTATCTTGCAGGGCTTAGGAACAAAGGATCTTAAAAGGAATTTTATCGTTGTTTAGGGCGCAAGGAATTTGGCTTATATTTGGCAGTTGGGAAAAATAGCGATGTAATAGAGCAGTGCTAGAGTAATTGATCAAGGAGTGGTGGGTTTGGCCTAACAGTACGTCCAGACAAGAAGTGACCTCCTCAGTAGTGTTTTGGAGTTTCTACCGACGTTCTCGAATAATCCGGCTCTGGTTATTGTTATTGGATTATGGGAGTTATTGGTTGTTACATAATTAATAATCCTTATTTTAATCTATAAACTTTTACTAGACACAAGGAAGGTTCGCTTTTCTACTTGATGGTAAGAGTACTGTATACGGACTGAGAATGCTCCTACGCAACGCCCTAATATTGCCTACGACCCCGCTTGGGAAATAATTAATAATCCTTATTTTAATCTATAAACTTTTACTAGACACAAGGAAGGTTCGCTTTTCTACTTGATGGTAAGAGCACTGTATACGGACTGAGAATGCTCCTACGCAACGCCCTAATATTGCCTACGACCCCGCTTGGGACCGAAGGGCCACCATTTCTCTTAGCTGTGCCAAAAGGTAACCGTTAACCAGAACTAGAACTGAACTTATCCGGTTATTCTCGAATGGGCCACTCTTCTGCACGATAACTGTTCCTAAGCGGCATTGCCTTTGATCCGTTAGCGTATAGGAAGAAACGAAATTTGACCTCTGACGAGTTTAAACGACACATAAGAATACACATAGGAG